TTTTTTTTTTTTTTTTTTTTTTTTTGTCTTTTTCCGTGTCCGCCGCCGCGCTTCCCAAGCGGCGCACTCTCCAGTGCGCCACCGGGCCGGCCCCAAGGAATGTTTAAAGAAGGAAGAACCATTACACATTTCTAGGGTCCTGAAACTGGGTAAAGTCTTGGCTTGACTCTGTCAGTGGCCTGGGCTAGAGTTCATCCCAAACTTCCTTGTCCCTGGATTGCTCACATTCTAGAACCCTCCAGACCCTCAAAATTAAAATAAAAAAAAAAAAAAAAGAGGGGGAACAAGCTTGAATCCCAAGCCAGTCAGTTCCATGCCATAGTTCCCACTGGTTTACTTAGAAAAAGAAATGTAAGCCGGCCCGGTGGCGCACTGCGCTAGTGCGCCGCTTGGGAAGCGCGGCGGCGGACACGGAAAAAGACAAAAAAAAAAAAGAAAAGAAAAAGAAATGTAACTTGAGGCTTTGTGTATTTTGTCTACTTATGGGCAGAAGATATATAACTGACACTTTTGACAGGTATATGTGAAAATTTCTGTGTGCAGAAAGTCAATCAACCTGGTCTTCAGTTGTGTGTACTTGAGGTAGGTTTCACATCCCCCAATATGCATAAACCCAATGAAAGTCAATGAAGGGAGTCAAAGTCTGCACCTCCTGGGCCAAAATACATTGAATTAAGTACAGAGATTTCTCCTCTGGACAAGCTTCCACACCAGGTAGGTCAGTGACATGTGGTTAATGAGAGAAGCCCACCCAGTCTTCCAGACTGCAGAACATGGTTTCCATGGAAGAATGGGAGAATACAGCATGGTGGACCAATTGTACAACCAGCCTGAGACCTTGACCAACAAACCTAAAACTCAACCTCTCATTTTTCAATCTAGGAGATGAGGTTAATCACACTGTGTTAGACATGAAATTTTGATACACTATCAAAAAAACTTTTACATCCAGTGGAAATTAGAGAATACTCTGAATGCAAATAAATAAATCACATGTACAAACTGGTATTTACAGTAACTTGTGCTTCTACACAGAAAATGAAACAATTAACAAAGTGAGGAGACAACCATAGACTCAGAGTAAATATCTGCAAACTATATGTCTGATAAATGGTTAATATCCAAAACACATAAAAGACTCAAAGTACCTGATAACAAAAATAAATTAAAATAAAATAAAAATAACCCTATTCAAAAAATGAGCAAAGAACCTGAATAGGTATTTCTGAAAAGACATGAAGTGGCCAATAGAAGAAAAAAATCCTCAACTTCACTAATTCTGAGACACGCAATTTAAAAACCATAATGAGAACACTTCACACCTGTTAGAATGGCTATTATCAGAAGATGAAAGATAACTACTCATGAGCATGTGAAGAAAAGAGAACACTCATGCACTGTAGGTGGGAGTGTAAGTTAGAACACCATTTTGGAAAGTAGCATAAATTTTTCTCAAAGTGCTAAAAATAAATCTACCATAGATCTAAAAACTCCACTTCTGAGTATATATTCAAATTAATTAAAATCAGTTTGTCAGAGATGTCACCATTCCAATGTTCACTGCACCATTATTCACAACAGGAAACATCAAAACTACAGAAATGAACAGATAAAATAAATACAATGCATCCAAAGAATGGAATTCTACTCAGCCTTAGGAAAAAAAAAATTGTTAATTGTGACAAGATGGCTGAATCTAGAGGACATCATTCATATTAAGTAAAATAAGCCAGCCACAAAAAACAAATACCACATAATTTTAGTTATACATAGCCTATAAAAAAAGTCAAACTAAGAGAAATAGAAAATAGAATGGAGGTTACCAGAAACTGATGGTTAGGATAGGGGTCAGAGGTAAATGTGCACATGTTGTTCAAATGGTACAACATTTCAATTTGGCAGGAGGAATAAGTTCTGGTGATGTACTGCACAGCATGGTGAATGTAGCTAACAGTAAAACATTGTATATTTCAAAGTTACTAACAGTGGATTTTAAATGTCACCATGAAATAAGTATGTGAGGTAATGAATGTTAATCAGCCTGATTTTGTCATTTCACAATGTATACATGTCTTGAAACACTACATTGTACCTCATGAACATACAAAGCTATAGTCTGCCAGTTAAAACAAAATAAAATTTTTAAAAGACAGAAACTGTCTGAATGAATTTTTTAAAATACAAGCAAGAAAAAACTAAATATTGTCCATAGTAAAAACACTATAAATTCAAAGATACAAATAGGTTGAAAGTTAATGGATGGCAAAAGATATGCAATGTAAATAGAACCCAAAGATAGCTACATTGGCTGGCCATACTAATATCAGACAAAATAAATATTTAAAAAGTTACTGGGGATAGAGGGCCATTTTATAATGACAAAAATGTCAGTCATGAGAACATCATGACAATTATAGATACACATGCATCAAACACAGAAGCTCAGCATTAAATGAAAATAATTAGGAAAGAAGTTAAGAGAGAAGTAGACTATTCTATATAAATATTTGGAGATGTCCAGTGCAACTTTCACTAATGGGCAGAATAACTAGGCAAAGCACTGACAATGGTATAGGAGTCCTGGACAACACTATAAAGCAACTTGATTTTACAGATATGTATGTGTACAGCATGCAAAACAATAGAACACACATTCTGTTGAAGTGCACATGGAAGGACCCCAGAAAACACCATTTGCTAGTACTAGGCCATAAAATGGTCTCAATAAATGTAAGGATTGAAATCACACAAACTATATTCTCTGACCACAACAGATTTAAATTGAAAATGATTGACTGAAGGATATTTCAGTAGTTCACAATTATATGGAAATTAAGCAAACTCCAAACAGCCAGTAAGTCATACAGTCACACACAAAAAATTACAAACTTTTTGAGACTGAAAAGATACATGACATACCAAAACTTATAAAGGGGTTAGAATAAAATTTATAGCTCTAAATATCCATACTTTGAAAAGATCTGAAATCAAAAGCTAAACTTCCAACTAAAAAGCAAGAAAAAGATAGAAAAATTAAACCCTTAAAGAACAGGAAAAAAAAAAAATACAGACTGGGGAAAACGATAAAGAAATAATGGTGCTGTAGTTTCTGCCCACTGGTACTAAAGATTTGGAGACAGAAGGGTACAAGTGGAAGTGACCTCTCTGCCCAACACGGCCCTCTAACACCTGCATTCAGCCACACCTCAGGTTCTATGCTGGACCCCTTTTTGTCTTATTCACTTTTACCCCTCCTTGTGACTGGGTTTCCTCCCCTCAGTAGTGCTCTGAGGACAGAGAAGGGGCCGCTGCAGACTCCAGGAAGCTCCTTCAGTGAAAACAGGTTCTGGGGCCATTGCTAGGTCTGCAATGTGCAAGTAGAACCATGCACAAGGTAATACACAAGTGGAACTGGGATTTACTCTGTTGCCCTGCTTAGTGGCAAGATACAAACAGCACTACATCACTGTGGATATAAGCAAAAGATATTCCAGAAGCACAGAGCACATGGTACATAATCATATCTATTATGTGGTCCCATTTAAAAATATGAGGAATAGGAATAAAGGATACATCTTCCTTCCAGACACTACTTCTCACTAAATAGAATATGACAAATACTCCTGTTTATAGCAGTTTAAATGATTGCAAATTTAATCTCTTAACAGTTATGTGTCTGATCTATGCATTCTCATGGAAGTATTTCTATTCAACCCACTGACTGGCTCTGTGTTAACTTCAAACATTAGAAACAATTACATTTACTTAAGAGAGAGTTTTGTAATAATTGCCATACAAGTTTACCTCCAATAGGAGAGTAGGAATAAAGTAAGAAGCACAGTACTTTAGACAATAAATTTAACAAAATATAAAGAAGTGGCATTTAATGTCCAAAATTCTGAGGTAAGCCTTCCAGTCAAAATGGCAGAATAGATGGTCCCCAGCTTCACTCTGTCCAGCAAATCAATCAATTTACAACCATTAAAAAACAATGACAGCCAAGATGGGGCTGCTAGAGCTCAGGGGAAGAGGAGGAGAGACCCATGGACTTCCTGAAGGCAGGAGAAGCCACAATGAGAGAAAAAAAGGATCACTCCCATTTTGAGCCCCAACCACTTTAAGGCTGCAGGTGGTGAACACACAGAGCGAGATGTCAAAAGCCACAGCTGTGCCCTTTGTATGAAGTTGCCTGAAAATGGCAGGGGAGAAGAGAGACTTAGTGGTCCCCAGGCCAGCAAGACCACTAACAGGATTTCTGTGGACCCATACAGGAGGAGCCACAGACAACAGAAAAAAGTGACCACTGAGAGGCTGGTGAATCATGACAAGAGACCAGTGCATGGCCTGTCCTATGGGAAGTGTTTGGAGTGTGGGCACTTGGGAAGACGGGCTCACCAGGGGAACATTGTTTCACAGGATAGATAGCTGATTTGCCCTCCAATCGGAACAGGATCACTCAGTGTAGACTGGTCAGGAATACAGGATTGTGAGGTTGCAGTTTGCTGAAAAGACTCCTAACCAGTCTTTCCACACAACCCAGGTGTACCAGACCTCACAAGACCAGGAAGTATAAAGCAAAAAGAATAAGAATGATTTATAACACTGAATAGGCTAATAGACAAAATTCTGATGTAGGTCACAATACTTATTATTTTATGTGTAAATATTTCCTATCCATAGTTGTGCTGGCTTCTGTCAAGATAAGTTTTTTAACAAATAATACTTTATATGCCTAAATGAAGCATACCTGGGGCTGTTTTGTGCATTGTAGGCTGTGTAGCAGCATCTCTGTCTTCTTTCCACTAGACCTTTTAACTTCTAGTTATGACAACAAAAATGTCTTCGGACATAGCCAAATGTGAGCAGGCAATATCACCACTCATATTTGACTGTTGTTAGATGGTCAATACTTTTAAAATAGTTTTGATCCTACATTTATCAATTCTATTTGAAAATTTGCATTCACATTACATAAATTGATAGTTTTCACTTCAAATTATCTGATATATAAAAATGAAAGTCATGTTGAAAGCTTTGACATGTTAAAGATATTGATGAAGGGCCGGCCTGGTGGCGCACTGCGCTAGTGCACCGCTTGTGAAGCGCGGAGGCGCTCCCGCCGAGGGTTCGGATCCCACATACAGACAGGTTCCCGCTCACTGGCTGAGCGAGGTGCGGGGGCAACACCGAGAGTTGCGATCCCGTTGCCGGTCCCAGTCCGGTACGGGGGCAACACTGAGGGTTGCAATCCGTTGCCGGACATGGAAAAAAGACAAAAAAAAAAAAGAAAAAAGATATTGATGAAGATAAACATTGTCACTGTTCAATGAGAAGTCCCTGCCTGGTAAGTTGTTCCATATTTATTGCATTGTTTCTCCCCATAAGCAGACTTGGGTGTAAAAGGTGACAATACAGGTTTCTCTCCTGTGTGGATATTCTCATGTTCAAAAACTGGTATCTTCTTTCAGAAAGTTCATAAAGTCAGTTAGCACAGTGGGTACTTGTGTTGTAACACAAAGAGATCACCTGTGAAATGGCAAACCACAGTAAGCATTTCTTACATAAAGTATGAATAGAGGATGTGGGTATAGAGTTGGAAAGAACTCTAGTTTCTTCAATTCAGTCTGTCTTAAATTACGGTGGATTTCTTCCACTTATAACCCCCAATTCCACCCTAGGAGTCATCTGCCCTTCAGTCCCAGAGAACATGAGAAATCAGATTCAAATGCATGAACGTTGTTTTTTACTGCCTGGCCTGGAAATAACGTTTATCACCTGTATCCATACTCCCTGGAACAAAGCTAAATTACATGGTTCCACACACAATAATTAATGGCTGAGATTGCAGGCATGTGTACAAGAGAAAAATGGTGTCTTTTAGAAAGTACATACCCAGTCTAATCCATACAGAATTTCCCCCCATGTAAATTATCTCATGACTGCTGAAATGTGTGTTCTTTTTACTTTACTTTCTTTCTTTTTTTTTTTTTCCTTCAGTGGCTGGCCAGTACAGGGACTCATGGTGTTATCAGCACCATGCTCTAACCAACAAAATGCTAACTATAGCCAACCCTGTAACTGCTGATAAAAGTTGTTTTCACAATTATTGACTTCCTTCTATATCTGAGGGTTGCACATCTGCTGATTCAACCACTTACAAAAATTGTTAAAATCAAAAGAAAAAAATAAAACTATAATACAAGTAAAAAACAACACAGTACAGCAACTATTTGCAAGGAATTCCTTCTGTATTCAGTAATATAAATATTCTACTCAAGATGTAAAAGACATGGAAAAAAGTTCATAGGTAATATTGAAACAGTACACCATTTACAGAAAGTGCTTGATCATTTGCAAGGGTTTTCATCAACAGGGGCTCCTGGAACCAACCTGGGCTTCTGGTTGGTGTAAGTTCTCTGACGAAACACGAGGTATGATTTATAGCAAAACCTTTTCCCACGGCCATTACATTAATTGGGATCTTCTGATGTATGAATTTGTTCTTATCTATTATGGTGAGTTCCAGTAAACTGTTTTTCCACATTCCTTACATTCTCATGATTTCTCACCTATGTGAATTCTCTGATGGCTGCTAAGGTGTGACTTTCGATTAAAAGTTTTTCCACATTCTCTACATTCATATGGTTTCTCACCTGTGTGAATTCTCTGATGAATGTTGAAGCATGACTTTCGGGTAAAAGCTTTTCCACATTCTTTGTATTCATATGATTTCTGACCTGTGTTAGTTCTCTGATGCCTGCTGAGGTGTGGCTTTCGGTTAAAAGTTTTTCCACATTCTTTACATTCATATGGTTTCTCACCTGTGTGAATTCTCTGATGAATGTTGAAGCATGACTTTCGGGTAAAAGCTTTTCCACAATCTTTACATTCATATGGTTTCTCACCTGTGTGAATTCTCTGATGAATGTCGAAGCATGACTTTCGGGTAAAAGCTTTTCCACAATCTTTACATTCATATGGTTTCTCACCTGTGTGAGTTCTCTGATGATTACTGAGGTATGACTTTTCACTAAAAGCTTTTCCACACTCTTTACATTCATATGGTTTCTCACCTGTATGAGTTCTCTCATGCCTGCTGAGTTCCACCTTTCCACTTAAACCTTTTCCACATTCTTTACATTCATATCGTTTCTCACCTGTGTGAGTTCTCTTATGCCTGCACAAGCATGACTTTTTGCTAAAAGCTTTCCTACATTCTTTACATTCATATGGTTTCTCACCTGTGTGAGTTCTCTGATGCCTGCGGAGGTGTGACTTTTCACTACAAGCTTTTCCACATTCTCTATACTCATATGGTTTCTCATGGGTGTGAATTCTCTCATGCCTGCTGAAACATTTTTGGTTACAAGCTTTTCCACTTTCTTTACATTCATGTGGTTTTTCAGCTGTGGGAGTTCTCTGATATAAAATGTGGATCTCTCCTGTGTGCATATTCTGATGTTTAGTGAGTTCAGATTTTTTATAGAACATTTTCCCACATATATCACATTGAAAAGTTTTCCTTTCTACCTGATTTATTTTTTGGGCAATGACAGCTGCCTTATCACAGCCTTTCCCATATTCACTATAATTATAGGTGGTCTCATCCATATGATTCTTTTTACACGTAAATACCATTGGCTCTGTGTTGGAGGATTTCCCTTTTCCACTGTATTCTAAAATCTGCTCCCCAGTTTGAATAGTGGGATGCTGACTAAGATGCTCATGATGTCTGGGCAATTTTCCAGTTGTGTGATGGTCATCAGATTTCTCTCCAGCAGGCATCTCATCAGGCTCTCTAGGAAGAAGTGCATTCTGACATATGTAAAACTCTTCATGTCCCTTTCCTGAATGGTTTCCATTATTTATAATCAGATTTAAAACATGATATGAATTCAAATAAAATGATTTTCCTAACATAACTCTCTCCTCAGATGATGTGTTGCTGTTGGTGATAACAATTTGCTGCAAGCATCTACCGTGACTTTCTTGGTTCCTCTCCACTAGGTCATCATCTATCTGGACATCTGATATGACAGAAAAAATAAATTATGAACCACACTGAAGCACATCTCATTGATTGCTCATGTAAACATACAGAAGTACCTTCCAATCCAAGTAACAAAAGGTTTTATTAAAAAAATCAATAATGGATATTGGTTTCATGAATTAATGGAATTTTTCCTACTGACAATGTAATATTGTAGTAATGTATTTTCTAATGTTATATCATGTTTTTCTTTCTTTCTTGGCTCATTTTAAAATTTTAATTTATGAGTAAATATCTGTTAAATATTTTTATTTTCTGCCTACTTGTAGTATTCAACTAAGCACATTTCTTTACACCATTTTCTCTGTTTTATTTTTACAACAGTGGGTGTCTCCTGCTATTTTCTCATTATTTCACTATGCAGATGGCTAGGTTTTCCTTCATCAGCTACTTTCAGGTACAGAAGTGAGCTAATTTTTTATCACATATGCAAGAAAATGGCTGAGAATAACAATTTTGTATCTATGTTTATATACTTTACACTTCTCCTTTAGAAAATGGCTATAGGAATGTGGAAGTTATTCAAATAAAATGTCCTTTTCTCTACCCTAAAGATAGCTTCCTCCAAGCTTTTAACTTGACTTTTTCTGCTTTGCATAAACCATTACAATAAAGGAAACGTCAGTACTCCACCCTAGACACCCACTTCTGTTCTACAGTATTTGGTTCTGCATCCAAGGCTGTTCCCACCATTTTTGAAATGTGCTCTTTTGACTCCTTCTCAAATCAACTTGTGTTCTATTCCCAATTCTGGATACATGGACCACCACTTCATAATTCATTTCTTGTGTTAGCTTGTATTTCATGCAGTGAAGTTTTGGTGGTTTTCTATTCTCATAAAGAGTCTCCTGCACATTTCTCATTTTGGTTTTTTTTCTGAATGATTTCCACAAAGAAAACAGAAAAATGCTAACTTTGAATTCCACTCCCAATCAACAGTCTTATCCCCTCAACATGGAACCCTTAGTTCACGTGGCCTTGGCACACAGAATCTCCTGGTTTTACTTCAAAGTCAAGGAGCACCCCTTTCCATTCTCCTATGTAGGGCTCTCCTCAGCTTCATGATTTTTCACGTGGTAGTACAAGGCTCACTGCTGTACCTCTTTTCCTATTTTCTTACTGAATTGCTATGTGATACCCTTCACTACTTTGGGACTCTGTGAAGAGTCCCTATCAGAACAAGGGCCCTTACCAGATGCAACCCTTTGAACTTGGAATGCTGAGCCTCCAGAACAAACTTGTAAGAAAAAGTTTTTTCTTTATAAATTACCCAGTTGCAGGTATTCTGTCAGAAACAACAGAAAACAAACAGACACAGTATGAAAAAAAAATGTACATGAGAAATGAAGACAGAAGCACAACCGAAAATGTTAAGAAAGCAAATAAGAAAAATAAATGTCAAAGAAAAGAAATGTAGGAATTAGATTTGGGGTACATACAAAACAGATTCAGCAAAACAAAATATTGTGGTATACATAAGACACCACACATTGGAGATTATGTAATACAGGATTGCTGATGAGCCATCCTCAAGTCTGGGAATGAGGGGAAAATTGCTAGAAACAGCTGAACAATTCCAACATCTAATGGGGTTACTTTTCTTAGCTCCTGTATGCTCTGACAAATGTTGCAGGACCTGGTTTGGGCACTCTTCTATTGTCCATGGCTCTGCCCTTTCTTCTAACTTGACAGTCATTTCAGCTTTGTTAATACAGTGTTCTGTTAATAGGAAGTAATGTAGGACTTTATAAAAGTGCTAAGTCTGATCCTTGGAATAATGTAAAGAGCTCAGCTTCAGAGGTTGTGCAATGAAGAGGCCAATTTGAACCTCATGAGAAAGAGAGAGAGCACATTTTCAAGAAATGTAATCTTACCAAAATAGCATGAAACCCTATAAATGGTTCTTAGGCTTATGACCAAAAAAGAAACTGTTTCTTCTGAAAGTTACTGGGGAGTTTTACTCACTCACAGACACCAGGTTGCTATATGTCTCCAGCATCACATCCCTGTACAAAGTCCTCTGAGCATCATTCAGGTCCTGCCACTCCTCCCAGGTGAAGTCCACAGCCACATCCTCAAATGACACTAACTCCTGTAATGACACATTGTTCTCAAGTCAACATCCCTGGGTCACAAAAAAGAAATCTGGGAGTTCACACCTCTGTGTGTGCATGTGTCTTATACAGGATGCCACTTTTTTGTACTTCATAGAATGGGAGGAAGAAAAACCAAAGGACAAAATCCTCGTACTCTAATAAGATATTAATTACGAAGAATAATATTCCAAAATTAGTTTATACCTTAAGAAATATCCTTGTTGCTGGTGATAAAAGTGTGAATAAAATTTTTCTTTCCCATGGAGAGTATAAACAGGCATAAAGAGATAAGTACAAATACATACCTGAAATACTGTGTTAGATGAGCAAATTTAAACACAACTTCAATATAGACTGGTGTAAGAAAGATAGAAAATACAGTTTTATTTTGTATTCAGTTTACACTTCACTGAAATGCCAAAGATGTTAAACTCTTCCATGTGAACAGCATGATCTCATGAAAAAGAGGCAACAGCAAAAGTCCAGTCACAAGAACACAAAGAACACACCCCACTTAATGGAACTACACACAGCACCATGTCTGAGTGAATGATCTCAGGTGGCATAAGAGAAAAACAATATTGAAGCAACTGATTATAGAATGATTCTGCACTATGGGACCTATTTCAAACAGTAAAACATTTTATGTAGTTATTGTCTTTTAATTACTTATGAATTAAAAGTACATAAAAAAGGCATTCCAAAATTTCCTTCCTATGTGCCAAAAGATTGCTTGTGTCCACACTAGGGTGTACACTGTAACTTTCTAAACCACAGGGAGCAAATAATGTGGTCCTGTAAGTATGTAACTTTATTTGAATTTTAATAGTCATCCACTACAAGGAGAATGGAAAAGGCTTTTAGGGAGAGTCAGAGGGAAAAAGAAAACAGGGTGACAGAAGACCAACTACATTATAACATAGAGAAATAAGCACACAGAAAACAGACTTACCAGTACAAAAAAAGAAATATGGAACAAAAAAAGCAGAAACAGAATGTGGTAGTAATTTGCTGTGCAGAAAGTAAAAAGAGTTTGCTGTCAGGCTATCTACATAAGCACAGCTAGTTATGTCCTGGCACTGCAAAGCAAAGTTTGAAAAATGGGAGAAAAATATAAACAGCAAAAGTGAAACAGAGTTGAATATATCATACTTGAAATATCTGTGGAAATGTCCAAGTGGCAACTGGATATATAATTCAAGAAAGTTAAACTAACAATAAAGATTTGAAAAGTATCAAAATTTCCATGTTATCTAAAGACATCAGAGTGAATGAACCTAAGAGGTTGAAAGTAAAAAAAAGAACAAGTACAGAATCTGCAGAAACACTTTATCTTTAAACATAGGATAGAGGCGAAGAAAAAGTGGCATTACATCATAATATAGGAGTTAGTTCTCCCAGAGGGCAATTCTTAATATGTATGTGCCTTACAACAGATCATCAAACTATATAACACCAAACCTAATAGAATTTCAAGGAGAAATAGAACTCACCATCAAAACAGGAGATTTCAACGCCTTCTATCAAAAATGGACCAATACAGCAGACAGAGAACTATAAAAGACATAGTTAAACTCAATTCCATGATCGGATATAATGGATATCTACAGACTACTTCTTCCAACAACAGAATAGACATTCTTCTCAAACTCACATTTAAAAAAAAAAAATCACTAAGACCATATTCAGAGCCATATAACACACTTCAGCAAAATTAAAATAATAGAAATCATACAATATGTGCTTTCAGACCACAAAAAAATATATATATATATTTAGTAACAGAGCAATAACTACAAGACCCCAAATAGAGTGGGATTAAACAACACACTGTAACATGTGGGTTAAAAAAAAAAACTGAACAAAAACATATTTTTAACTAAATGAAAGTGAAAATGTGGCTGACCAGTTAGCTCAGTTGGTTAGAGCACAGCCTTGTAACACCAAGTTCAAGGATTTCAATTCCTGTACTGGCTGGCCACCAGGAAAAAAAAAAAAGTGAAAATGACACCAAAACTTGTAGGATACAGAAATAACAGTGGTCTCAAAAAATTTTATGGCACTGAATGCATAAAAACAAACAAAAATCTAAAACCAATAATCCATGTTCCCACCTTTGGAAACTAGGGGGAAAAAGAGCTAATTAAATTGAAATGGAGCAAGAAAAAAGAAATAAAAACTAGAACAGAAAAAAAACTGAAAAAGAAAATCTGGAGAAAAATAAATATCTAAAAAGCTGATTCTTTAAAAAGATCAATAAAATTGATAAGCCTATAGCCAAGCTAACCAAAAAGATAGTAAACACAAGGCAGAAATTACTAATATCAGAAATGAAAGAGAAGACATCACTACAGATCCTGTGGACAGTAAACATATAATAAAGAATACTATGGACATCTCTATGCACACAAATTTGATAACTACTAATATATACTATGAACAACTCTGTGCACACATTTGACAACCTACATGAAATGGACCAATTGCTTAAAAGACACAGTTTACCAAAACTCACACACACACACACACACACACACACACACACACACACACACACACAGAAATACACAATGTGAACAGGCCTGTATCTATTTTGAAAATCAAGTAATCAAACAATAACGTTCAAAACGGAAAGCACCTGGACTAAAAGTGTTCACAGGAAATTCAAGACATTTAAGGAAAAAAATATGCCAACTTCCTACAGTCTATTGCAGAGAATAGAAAATGAAGTGCTTCCCAACTTATCGTATGAGGAGAGCATTACTGTAGTACCAAAACCAGACAAAGATATGAGAATAGAAAACCACAAACTGCTAACTCTCATGAACATACATGCAAATAAGCTCAATGAAATATCAGCAAACCTTATCCAACAATGTCTAGAAAGAAGTATGCACCATGACCAAGTGGCATTTATCCAAGGTAGGCAAGGGTGGTTCAACATATGAACATCAATTAATGTAATCGATAACATGAAAACACTAAAAAGAAAAAGAAATCATACGATCACATCAACAGATGCAGAAAAAGCATATGAAAAAATACAGCATCCATTCATCATAAAAATTCTCAGTAATCTAGGAATAGAGGTGAACATCACAACTTGATAAAGAGCTTCTACAGGAAACTGCAGCTAACCTTAATGGCAAGAAACTCAAAGCTTTCCCAGATAATCAGGAACAAAGCAAGAATGTACCCTCTTAATCACTCCTTCAACATTACACTAAAAGTACTAGGTAGTGCAATAACACAAGGAAATTTTTTAAAAAGATTTAAAGATTGGGAAAGAAATAAATAAAACTGTCGTTAGTTGCAGATGATATGACTATCTGTGCAAAATATCCTAGCAAGTAAATAGTAAACCTCCTGGAATTAATTACTGATTACAGCAAGACTGCAGGATACAGCATTAGTATACAGAAATCAATCACTTTTCTATACCCCAGCAATGACCAAGTAAAAACTAAAACAAAAACCACAACACTGTTTACATTAGCAACTCAAAAAAGAGAAAAGAAAGTTGAAAACCATCTACCTCATAAGAAATTAACATCAAGAATACATTTTAAAAACACCTACAACTAGGGCCGGCCCGGTGGCTCACTCGGGAGAGTGCGGTGCTGATAGCACCAAGGCCCCGGGTTCGGATCCCATATAGGGATGGCCGGTTCGCTCACTGGCTGAGCGTGGTGCTGACAACACCA